CCCCGAGGGCCCGGGAGCTCCCCGCCGCCCCTTTTTTGGGGGAAAACTCCTCCTTTTTGGACCACGAGCGGAGCCAAGAGCCGTACGCCCACTCCCCGCCGCCTTTTATTCATCGCTGCCGTTTCTTACAAGCCGCGCCGAACGCCCCCCCCCCCCCGTCCTTTTCCCACGCGGAATTTACGCGGGGTTCGGGTTTATTCATCATTTCCCCCCCTTCCCCGAAATGCCCGCACGCAACCCCTCTGATTAGCATCGTTAACAGCACACGTCTGGGTCAGCGTTGGGGGGGAGGACGGAAAGCAGAACCAGTTTCATATAGTTAAGGGCAGCGCACTTATTAATAAACCCATCGGGAATCTTAATTTCGCGGGGCCAGCCGGCGTCGGCCGCGATGGCGCGCAGGGCTTCGGCGACGTCGCTGCTCCTGGAGGGGTTGAGGAGGGAGGGGAACGAACGCTCGGCCTCCTCCGCGGTGGGCTCCGGAAAGCGGCTCTGACGCCGACCCCAGATCTTCCCGCGGGACCCCCAGCTGCAGTCCGGCCTGCAAAAATAGGCAGAAGTCACGTAACTGCACGTCCCTGCCCGCAGCAAGCCAAGGCGGCAGAGCGACGCGCGAGGTACGGCGCCTGTCTGCTGGCAGGTGCTTTTTCTGCAAAGCTCGAGAGACCAGAGCATGTGAGAGGGAGTAAAGGCTGGGAACAGATCCTGCACATCCAACCTGGCAAGTACCGTTTTGTGCAGAAGGACAGAATAAAAGCCAGTGCACCCGACGCGGTGCAGCCTTAACCTAAGAAGCCAACGTTTCCGACACAAAATCCTTGCCTGACGTAAAAACCCTCTGAAGCACTTAAATAGGAATGGTTTATGTGGAAGTGTGATCGCTTCTTCCTAATACGTTTCTCTCGCTGTAAGCCAGTCATCATGCTCGCTTTGCAAATGCTTTTCCCTTTCAGCTTACACTGTAAAAACTCAAACACCCAAGACAAACTGCTTCCCACCGTCTGGCTCGCTCGCATCCAGAAGAGATCACTTCCACTTTGCGGTTACAGTCTCTTGCTCCTACAGAGTTACTGCTGAGGTTTATCCAACAGGAGAAGAGACGGTAAAGATTAGTGAAGAAACCACGGAAGGCTGTAAGATGCCTCTGTTCTGCAAGGACTATTTAAAACAACATTTCCCGGTATCAGCATGCTGCTCTGGTTTCGCCACCGTGGTGCTCAGACGAAGGGCGCTGGAGGAGCTCGGTGGGCCACCTCACGCCCACCCGTCCCCTCGGCCGCCAGGACTCCCGCCGCAGAGCTGTCGCGTCACGATCAGCATCGGCCGTACCACAAAGGTTCACCCAGGCTATAGTTTTAACATCACAGGAGAAACTTACTGCAAAGGCCCTTATAGGGATAAGTAAAACATCTAATTACCATATCCTTAGAATAGATGTAATATAAATTTCATTACTCACTTAAAAGTTCTAAAGTTAACAGCATAAACTTGAAGTTGAGTAATTAAGTAATCCTTATATAGACACTTATTAAAGTATTTATACATATTATCTTAAATCTACATCTATCATTTTGCCAATTAAAATTAGGACTTTAATTGCAATTAAGTAATTTAATTGCCAATTGAACAGCAAAATTGCTAAGTGACTAATTTTAATGCCTATTTTAATTACCAATCATGACTGGGGAGGGAGCTAATCAAGCAGTATCAGAGTAATGATGTGAAAAAAAACGGAGAACAAACATTCAAGACTACATGCTTTTAAAAAAAGAACTCTAAATTAAATAAATGCAAACACAATTTTATACATGTGGTGAAATGCTGTATTTTGGTACCTAAATACATGAGCCCAAAGAACACATTTAATTAAAAAGAACCGTCGCTCTTCCCCCAAAGTGCCGACGACAAAGTGCCCCTTATCCCTTGTTTCTGCATTAGTCTCCCTGGAAGAAGGTAACCCCAAAACCCGGCCCGGGTGGGACTTTTGTACAGTCACTAACTCAGCAGGCTGAGCGCCCTTAGAAAAGCAACCCTTAAAACCCAAAAGCTGGTAAATTCAAGAAGATCCAAGCCCCCTCCAACACCAGACACAAGGGGCGGCACTGATGGGCCAGGGGCCCACCTGCACAGCGAGGTCCCCCTTAGAGAATGGTTCGCTGGTCACTGCAACAGCCCCCGCACCCGGGCGAGACGCCCACACCTTTCCTACAGCCGGCGGGAAGAGGAACACGGCCGGAGCCTTTATCAACCGCAGCGCTGGGCGGTGCTGGGCCTTCCCCTCCTGGGGGTCCGGTTCGTCTCCTTCCCCCCAGGAAAAGTGGGCACGAGCACTGGCACCGGCACAGGCACCGGCACCGGCACCGGCATGGGCGTGTGCACACGGAGGTGTGTCGTCACTGTTCCCGCTCCCTCCCATCAGGGGTTAAAAGACACAAATCTGAATCACAAGCATTTTTGACCCTGAACTCCACGTTTAGGAGGACCGTCCCCAAGCATACTCCAAAAAGTAAGAACCCTTCCACCGGAGGATGCACTGCAGCTGACGCCATAGGCCGTATTTCGGAGACCATCTGTGTGTAGGCCTGCTTCAGGTACTGTCCTTTCCAACAAAGGCACAAAAATTCTCGTCATTCCTATCTGTGAGCGTAGCAAACTCCCAAGGTCTAAAGGAAAGTTACAGTGTTTGTTTAAGATTAAGAAGCACAGGAACTGACCTGTGGCGGCTGTAGCTGTACGTCTATTAGTCGAAAGACCGTAACTGGATCACGGTCCCCATGATGGAGCTTTTGTTGTTTCAGCCATGAGGGCAGTGGCCGTGCCGGCCAGGCATGGTCAGTGCTGCAGCTAGCACCTGCAGTGACTGCAATGCATCGTGAACTCCATGGAACACCTACCTCCGACACATAAAGCCTGAACTACGGTACGTATTTGGCAGTCTTGGGCGTCACAGTATTGCAGGAACTCACTATGCACAAAGCAATTGTTTGTTTTGTACGTGGGCAACCCCAGCCTCGGTTCCACGGTCAGACAGGTGTTCTGCGGGAGCAGCACAGGTTTGCTCCTTCTCTTCTCCAGTCCAGCCAGCCTCGGCTGGTGCCCATGCAGGACAGGGGCCGCGTTCGTCTGGTACGTGTGAAGAGGGCGCTGCACCGGCAATGCAACTCCTGCAACTGGCCCTTCCCTATGCAAACACACTGTCAATACTGGAGTCACGTGCGCATACCCTGTCTAACTTGGGCAAATGTTTCAGGATGATGTTTTGGGAGAGGGAAGCTTCGTTTCCTCTTCAACAGAGCGAAAG